TTTTTTTTTTTGAGACAGAGTTTCGCTATGTTGCCCTCGGAAGAGTGCTGTGGTGTCACAGTTCACAACCTCAAACTCTTGGGCTTAAGCGATTCTCTTGCCTTGGACTCCCAAGTAGCTGGGACTTTAGGCACCTGCCACAACACCCAGCTATTTTTTTGGTTGCAGTTGTCATTGTTGTTAAGCAGGCCTGGGCTGGGCTTGAACCTGCCAGCCTTGGTGTATGTGGCTGGGGCTCACTGAGCTACAGCTGCTGAGCCTAGGTATTTTTAAAACTAACAACCAATACAAAGGATTGGTTTATTTATTGGTTTATCCTATTTAAAAGGATAATGAACAACACTAACTCCTTGCCTCTCTGTTAGCAGTTTTATAAATATGATAGAAAATATGGCTCCTCCCTTGGCAGGTCATGTGTCTGACCCCTGCCCTTGGTAATCATCCCTTGGCATGCCAATCTCTTGGCTTTCCTCCTACCTTCTGACCATTCTTTGTCAAAAAGTCTTATAGTCTGCACAAGAGTAAAACCCTGCCTCTACAAGAAACAGAAAATTAGCTGGGTAAGCTGGCGTGCGCCTGTGATCCTAGCTACTCAGGAGGCTGAGGCAGGAGGATTGCCCAGGAGTTTGAGATTGCAAGGAGCTATGATTGTGCCACTGCACTTCAGCCCAGGCAACAGAGTGGGAAGTCTGCATTGTAGTCTCTGCTCACTCTGCCCATCCCTCGCATGTTGCAGTCCCTCAGGATTCTGCAATGGATCGCAGAATTGCAACTCTGCTGATGGCTCTCACCTCTTCTCTGAGTTCCAAACTCAGATCCACTGGAATATCTCTCAGGTCCCTCAAACTCAATCCATCCAGAAGCCAGGGAGTCACTTTTCTCCTTCAGTCCCCTCACCCCCAACCTCTGCCATTTAATTACCAATTCAATTCTGCGTCCTAAGCTAGCTGCCTCTCCTTTTCTGCTTCCGCCTTAGTTCAGGCTTCAGTTGTCTGTTTGGATCTTAGCTTCAGTTGTTCAGCACCTGGTCTCTGGCATCCAGTCTGATCCTCTCACATTTAGCCTTCACACAGCTGCCACAGCACGCTTCTGCATAAGCCCTTCCGTGGCTCACCACCACTCACTGGGGAAAACCTAGCTTCCTCAACTCAGTATGAAGGCCTTCCGTGACTAGCTGCTCTGTTAGAAATAAACTCTTTTGCATCTGGAACATTGCAAGCTAGTTCATGCTTCCCAGCTTTTACTCAAGCTGTTCTCTCTGCCTGGAATGCCTTTCCCACAATTTCAGCCTGGGAAAGGAATAATCAATGGTCTTCTGAGTCTCAGCTCAAGCACCACTTTCTCTCTCAAGCCTTTCAGCCTTTCTTGTCCCCCATCCCTCAAAACAATC